GCACCGGGGGATCGAACTCAGGTTGCTCGAGTATATTGAATTAAAGGGGAGCGCCCGTACACTGAGCTATCACGGCTCATTGCTTACACATACTTAGTGGTTGCAATTATTTATCGTACAATAACAGCCAAAATGATGTTCTGGTTGTTTTTACGAATTTCTAGTTTCTCTACCGATTTGATATTACTACATCAAACCACACTGTCGCAGCCTCGTCCGGGGAAGTACCACGGCTTCACAGAAGACCGGCGAGAAGTGGAAGTATGATAGACGCATTTCGCGTTTCGTCTGTTTAGTGTGGTAACCGTGTCCCACTTTTAAATGGGTTGACAACCCACCAGGTGTTGCAGACGTCCAAGTGCGGCGGCAGTCACTTAACATCAGGTAAACCGTCTGCTCGCTTGCCATCACCATGCTTCTTGCCTTAACAAGTCATTTTTTTTATAGACGAAAAACAATGTCGACTTCAAATATCTCGCTCTGTATTCACTTTTATAATTGATTTTTAAGAGTTCCCTAAGTATCTTCGGATCCCAAGATCCAATACCATCGAAATTAATATGCGACCACATGGGAAGCACCAGCTTTCAAATAAAAAAAGAATCATCAAAATCGGTCCACTCAATCGAAAGTTCTGAGGTGACAAACAAACATAAAAAAATACAATCGAATTGAGAACCTCCTGCTTTTTTGAAGTCGGTTAAAAAATAATATATTGAATTGAAATCTCTACCTCAAAATTAATCTTAGGTGCTTTTATTTAAAGGAAAAATATGCAGCGTTATTATTGGAAAACACAATGTTTGCGATGATTTGAATCACCCAATTTTAAGGCATACGACGCACAAACATGTGCAACGCTCTGTTTTTAGGTAACTGTACGACGCACACACATGTGCAACGCTGTGTTTTTAGGTAACTGTACGACGCACACACATGTGCAACGCTGTGTTTTTAGGTAACTGTACGACGCACAAACATGTGCAACGCTGTGTTTTTAGGTAACTGTACGACGCACACACATGTGCAACGCTGTGTTTTTAGGTAACTGTACGACGCACACACATGTGCAACGCTGTGTTTATCTACACAGTTCAGGTCTTCCCCGAAATGTGAACTCGCCACTTGATGTTTTCGCTCGGTCATTCGTGATCGCGATTGATTAGTGAAGACATGATTAGGTACAATAAAGTCTGCTTGCGAATAGTTTAATGGCGCAGTGTTTTAGCTTTTGTTAAACTTTTCGCAAAGCAGTGTGTGTGTGATTTCCTTAACTGCTCATTGTCCTCTTTTTGTTTGAATTGGGAATAATATTGATAATGTTGTTTTTTATTTTATAATTTAAATTAACAAAACAATTTTTTTCCCTACTATGGCTCCACTGATACGTCATAACAAACAATTATTTATTCTAAAGTTAGTGACATATGCAGCACCCGAGGGACTGCGGATGCGTTGTCTACTTTAAAAAAAACCGGCCCAGTGCGAGTCGGACTCGCGAACCCAGATTTCCGTAGCATTATCTATAAGAACGGCAAAAAAAAACCTGTCTGTTGTATGAGACACCACTTAAATATTTTTTTTTATTCTCATCAAACATCGAGGGAAAAAATGTACGAAAAACGACGTGAAGACTACAACATGTTCAACGCGCTCATTATCTTAATATCAATCCATCGCGGATCGTGGAATCTCTGTCAACCCCTTTACGACATACGTGAATGTTTAAAATATTGATGAACATATATTGAAGACCAAGTCGCACCTTCATCATCATGATCATCATTTCAGCCTGTTTGAGTCCACTGCTGAACATAGGCCTACCCCACAGACTGCCACGAAGTACGATCCTGAGCCACCTGATCCATCGACTTCCCGCACACTTGTACAGGTCGTCTCTCCATTTAGTGGGTCGTCCCACAATGCGATGGCCAGTACACCGCACACCTTACTGAACATAAATATAGTCAACATTTTGTTTAGTTAAACGTGCAGTGCCGCGACTCGTGTTTTTTTTCTCTTTTAAATATTTTTAAACGAAAACGAAACGCAGCCGTAATTAGATTTTAAGAGTAAAAATGTACAATATTGCCTGCTTATCATTAAAAATAAATATTAAATATTACACCGCTACGTACGTCCTATTTCTGGGCGATTATAAAAAAAAACTATGAAAAAGATTGTGGCACGGAACCCTAAAAATAATATACAAACATGATCGCCGTTTTGAGCCGGTTCTTCTTCGAGTGGTCTTTAGTCAGTGGACGAAGAGTAAGTTTTTGACATTCATAAGAGCTTGAAACAAACTACAAGGAACTGTATTTTAACGATACGAAATAACTACAATTGAATAGAACTTTGCATAAGTATCACGGCCGTAATTCGTAGAGTTTACATAATTGCGTGATCTTCTAAGGAAAGCGATTACGCGTATGTAAATAGATATACGTATTTCTATCCATATTTTTAATCTCTATGCATTGTGAAAAAGCAGCCATTACGTCAGAGGTTTTAGCAACACGACGCGTTTTAATGTGGAGATTAATTCGTAAACGGTTACACTTTCCATTTCTAGTGGTCTAAAAACGCGGCGTTAGCACAGTATCCGCTCGATTTAAATGTAGGTATGCTTGAGCAACTCGAGTTCAATTCCCGATGCACCAAAGAAATTGTTAATTGCAATTTCAAGTGTCGATTTATGGCGTGATCATCCGTGAAAGCCTGAATATTTTCGAAATTATAACAAAGAAATTATGTTATTATAGTCATATTACGTGAAGTCTGTCAATCCGCAATGCACTTCGCTCTAATACCTTTTGTACAGAGGTATGTGCCCAGCAGTGGAACGTACGGAATGTACGGTATAGGTGGTAGGGCCACGCAGCAGCCTCGGCTGTTGCACGAATGGGCAGGCTCGTCCGGTAAGCACCACGACCTCACAGAAGACCGGCGTAAAGTGGAAGTATAATACTTTCGCGTTTCGTCTTCTTTCGTGAGTGGAGCCCAATTTTCAAAAGCTTGTCAACGCTTTCGGCGGCGGTATTCACTTAACTTCCGGTGAACCATCTGCTCGCTTGGCAAGTTTTCACATAAAAAAAGGCTTTTACTTTACGTAACTAAAATATCTGTCAAAATATTTCCGTGTAAAGTAAAATCTAATGAGTAAGAGCCGAGCTCAGCCAGAAATGCAGAAAGAGAAATAAGGCGTGAATTATTAAAAACAACCAAATAACTTATCGATTTATCGTCGCATTGGCATTTCGGTAGTAAAAAAAGTATGTCGCAAATGGTGTGAAGACAAAATGTAAATTGTTTTGTTTGAAGATACGCGCACTGTTTGCGGTGTAAAAAAAAGCTTATTTGTATTTCTTATTTCCGTTTCACTTGCAAGCGGCTTTATGACGCATTTGGGTTTTTTATATGCGCAATGAATGAACTGAGAGCGATATAGTAAATCTACATTTTTATTTCGTGATAGGCACTATTTATACTAATAGAAACTACGTATAGTCAATAGTAAATAGTTATCGTGATTATATGCAGTTATATTTTAATAGGTAAAGTAGCGACAGATATATCAGGCTATTACCGAAGCACTGTTGAATTATATAAATTTTTTTGTGCATGACATATCAATTCACGGACGAGTAGTAAATGTTTGAAGTATTATTTCATACTATGTATAAAAGTAGATCACTTAAAAATTCCTTTACGAGTACAAAATTTCATTGCGTCAGTTTTAATAATACTCGTACAATAGTATAGTTTTGTTCTTGATCTTGACTTAATTACAGGAATTTAATGCAAAGACGACAGTATTCGTATTGTATTTGCTCGCTTACAGAGTGCTTGGTTACTAACCAATGGTTAGCGTTATTTGGGTTAAGTCACAATACATTGATGTAATTTGTGCGTTGAAAATTTATATGGACTAACAGAACAACAGGTACCTAAACATTTGATTTTGTGTAATTTTATCTGTACAGAAGTAGTAGTACTGATGTAGTACACTAACAGATTATTATTTAACTACCGACTATCAGCTCGGAGGCTTAAGTCTATTATTTTGTTATTTTTAATATTTGAAGTGCATTTAAAAATAAGATACATTGGTGTGCGTAGTGTGCAATCTACTAATGATCTTGCGAATATTAATAAAATGATAACAGGAGACAATTAAAATCACTTACTAGGACAACTGACGCTGTCAGAAACTTAAACGTTCTAATAATTATTTCTGACAAACACTTATATATATTCTCACTTATATTATATCGGTAGTCAAATTAAAGCAATTAAATTATAACCTTTCACTCACGTCACTACAGCTTAGTTTATCAGACACTTCTGTTAAATTCATGTTTTGAAGGTTGAAGGAACAGCTGATTGATGGGAACCTTTATTGAAAATTTCTACTTTTTAGTTAATTTAAATATTTGGCATTAAATAAAAAAAATACAGGGCAAAGTTAAACACATTTAATAATAAAATTATCTATTTTACTTTTCATAAATACTATCGTTTCTGTAGTTTATAATTTTGAATTTTTCTCAATTCAATTGGATTTTAAATTGGTATTGGTAGTATTTTAGTTTACGTTTGAAAAGCTGGCAATAGTTCAGGTACGTCAATGTCAGTTACGTCACAGTTGTCAATTTGAAGTTATGGAGATAAATTCAAAAATTATTTGAAAGAATGTTCAGGGAGAATAAGATATTATTTAACAGATTTACTTCCTCTTGGAAGCAAATTTGACAAAATTGTTCATTAATTTTGGTATATTTTTATTATTATAAATGTCTTTATCTTTAAGGCTCATTGATACAGACGATCTGGTCATCTGATCGTGATCTGATGTCGTTTTTAATTAATAAATCTTGCCAGTACAGGTTATCTAACTTAATCATTTCCTTTATATATTGTGAATGAAATCTCAAGTGTACTTGCAATCGTGTAACTCATAAGTGGAGTTTTATTTTCTCGTGATAACAGATCTGAAGATGCCTAACCACGAAGTTGATTTTTATAGGGATACGTGGGTGCGTTACTTAGGTAATCATATTTTCCATTTGCGCCCATATAATTATCTCAGTTCGTACTTAAACTAGCTTTAAATTATGCATGTTCATATTTTTAATTTCTTAAAGGTTCCCTTTATTTTTACCTCACATTTAAGATGACCGATGTGAAAATGGCAAACCTATGTATACTTTTGATCGTTTATTTGGTTAAAATATGTTTTATTTCTTACCCCTCATCACCAGTTATGTAACGATCACTAAAAAGATCCATTGTCTTCTTCAGGCTACGCAAATGAAGTTGGAGAGTCTTTTAGGGCGATGGTGCCTGTGCAAGTTGTGAGAGCCAGCTACGCCTTGGCTACTGCATATGTGCTTGCTGACACTGTGGACAAGGGTTGGAAAATGTTTAAGGTATATTTATAAAGCCAAGTTCAAGTTTAAAAAATAAAACAATATGTATTGAGAAAACTTAGAAAATTATGTTTAAAGTAACGAGAATTAAAGACAATATCATATCTAGATAATTTCCTTGTTAAGGGAATATTTCTATCATTTAACTATAATTTAAACAACCCTCGCATAGCTAAACTTGTCCCTTGAACCAAAAATACCGTGGTGACGACCTTAGTGTTTTTCTAGTATCTGGGTGTTTATAGTACTATCTACAAAAAAGTATGTTTAAATATGTTTATCAGTTACATAGGATCCATAGTACAAGCTTTGCTTAGTTTGGGACTAGATAACATTGTGTAATTATGTCCTGAAATATTTATTATTATTATTGTTTTACTAGTACCATTCATGTATGGCTTACTTTAATATTTCAGAAAGATGGACGACCCAAGAATGTCTTGATAGAAACAGGGGATGCATTAATCTGGCAAACATTAGCATCTGTTGTCATACCAGGATATGCTATAAACAGGTTTGTTGTTGTTTGGTATTGCTTTCCCTTGTAATTTGAAATAAGCCATTACCAAGTGCCTTCATGCCAACTCAACTTATCAGCTTAACAAGATCAAGACATTAATATGATCACTCATGCGACCCCAACCAGATACTCAGCTGAGCATAATAAAGTACCAATTTTAATCAGGGAAATCTAGCTTGATGTTAAGTTGATAGAGACTTTCCATGAATAACAGTCCGGTTATGGTATCTTAGACCAGAATGACGGTGAGGTCCTTCGTCAAAGATGTAGTGGACTGGCATTGCCTTGATCTTACATGGCTACAACCAATGAAATATCTGAAACCATAATGAAATTGTTGAGCGACTGGTCCTATAACCTCCCTTTTGAATTCTGATGACTGATTAGAGATAAAAACGCCAAAAAAAGCTTTACAACCGCTATCGATCAGAATTGAACAGGGCCGAATTCGGATGCTTCCAACTAGAAATTTAATACTTGGCTGACTTGATAAAACAAAACTCAAAAACTTACAAAATAAGGCATATAATTTAACATGTCACCTATATTTTCATATTCTTGTTACAACTGATACAAGGCTTTTCCTTAACTTTTTACTTATGCTTTTCAAAATGTATGTTTCAGAATATGTCACCACAGTCAAATATACTTCAAGAGAAACTACTGCAGAATACCTGTTACCGCAAGGAATTTAATGACAGTTGGTGTTGGTTTGATTTCTATTCCTTTCATAGTGCATCCAATTGATAATGGAGTAACACTGCTTATGAATCTCACATACAGAAGGTGGGTTAAAAGTAGCCCATAAATTATTAGCTTGGTCTAAATAAAGGTCTTAAACATAAATTTTGAATTGTATGAAAATGAACCAAAGCTTCTATTGTTTCTTAGCGCAACAAAGTTAAGATCTACCTCATTATTATTTTATAGACCAATTATTATGAACTTTTATCGGTTTCCATATTATTGGAATTTTAACACCAAAAATTAAAAACCAAAAAATATATAAGGACATTGATGTGTTCAATTTTACCTATTGTTAAGAAAAATTATATTACTAACTGTATTTATAATTGAATGGACATGATATTGTGAGGTGAAATGCAGATTCTTTAGCATTGTGCAAATTTGAATTGAATTATCTATGATAATTTACCTGCCTTTTATGTTTTTCATAGAATCTCATTAGCTATGAATATTTTTGTTTAAATTAATAAATATGCAACATACAGAAATTGGATTCTGTAATGTTCTTCAAATGTAATTTGAAGTAATTCAAAAATTATTTATGAATCACAAATGTACAAGTTGTACCACTAAATCTGTAGCAAATGAAGACTCATAAAATATGCTATACATTCCTAATAATGGTAATCAACCAAAGTTGACATAATTTTATGGTGTATGGTTAGAATATTGATTTCTTGATTTTATGTGAATGTTACACATAGTAAATAAAACTAGTTTACAAAGGTCGGGAAATAAAAATCTAACTTAAAACGCGATAAAATCCGTAAACTAGTTTCATTTACTGTTTATGGTTGGGTTGATTAGGAATTTTTAGGCTGTGAGAAATAATGTTACAGTTTTGTTGTTGTAGATGTAAAAATTAAAATAGGTATCCAGTGTTCAAATATTTGATATGTTTCCACTTATATGTAAATTTTATTTCAATGGTCAAAATGATTATTTGCCGTATCAACAGGCAAAAATTACATCCTGGGTCTTATTTTAATTAGTCAATAGTCTGTGATTCAGTTTGTAGGCCAACTAGGTTGTGTCAACTCAATTTATAAGTATTATAGTACAACAAAAATTTAATGTGATTAATGATAGTCTGCCATAAATGTATAAGTTACTAATAAAGTAATAGTTGACATATTATATTTTAATGTAACCAACAATGGGTCATTCTCAAGAGAAATCGGACAATAACTCACCAAAGACAAGTACTAAGTTTGTCTGGCTTGTTTTGCCTTATAAAATATTTCCAAGAGAGCTATGGTATCTGATATTGTCATCATAATAATGTTTTGCAATATTTTGGGATCATACAATAGAGTAAAGTATAAAATTAATAGGTTTGTATCTGTAATTTTTGGTATGCTTTATATAGTTTTAAAAAGCACCACTTTGGTATACTAATAAATATATTAGTATACCAAAGTGGTGCTTTTTAAATCTAAGTGACTCTGTATTTTGAAAATTTGTTATGAAATATGCATACAGAAAAGCCTTTTTACGTAAGAATTATTGTACTGTAATTATTATATACACGTGCATTGTTATGGAATTGTTAGTAAAGAAAAATTATCGCCATGTTGTTTTAATTGGTGTTCACTACATCTATTACTTACGTATTACAATAGCACTATTAAACGCACATTATAATCGACCCCCCCCCCCCCCCCCCCCCCCCGCGCGATACATAAACGGGAACATTTGAACAAAATGATAGTTTGCTCAATATTATTTATCATTATTATGCGGTTGGTCCTAAGCCGTATGGGTCCAGAAATACCGCCGGCGACAACTCGTTCCGCACAGAAATTGTGCTGGGCAGAAAATTGCGTAAATTAATTAATACTTCTATTTAACGCCGGTCTAAACTGTAGCGTGTACCTAACGTAACGGAGAATTTCGGTGATGGTTATGATTCCGTTATTCAAAAAAGTTACCACCTGTGACCAGTTTTCGCTCATTTCGTTGTAGTAGCCGCGTTTGCTGCTGATAAGTTGCTTTTCAGCAAAGGGGTCCGATGGTTTCAATTTTTTGTTATGACTGTACTAGACGAAGGTTACGCGTGGCACAAAGAAGTGCATGGTTCTATTATACGAAAATACCAGTAGTATTTTTGGGTCACTCGTAGAAAACAAATATCTAAAGGAACTCTACCTAGAGTTAGTTGCGTAGATAGAGTTCCTGCAGGTCTTAGTGGAAGGCGTTGAGTTCAGATCAGAACGCAATCCTTGATGTTTCAGAAATCACACGAAACACGATTAAAAGATATGGGCAAATATAGAGTTTTTCGAAAATTTGTAAGTACCAAAATTTACCTTGATTTTCAATTTTTCTTATTTTTTGGAGTTTTTCCTTTACTTGTGTTGTACGACCTTGCTTTTAACCAAAATTGTCAATTTTAGGTCAACCGGAAGTACCCTGTAGGTTTTGGGTCAAAAACCTATAGGGTACGGGTAGGTCCCGTTCGTCTAGAATCACGAAATTTGCTAAAATGCAAGGTCATACAGCACTAATAAAGGGAAAATTCCAAAAGAAAAAGTTGAAAATTAAAGGGTACCCCATGCATACATAGCTGGCGCCAATTAAGATAGAACTCCGAATGGACGTTCATACAATTTGGAGGACTAGCTTAATTAAAACTTTGCCACCAATAAAATTTATACCAATTTATGGCGGTATAATGGGTAGGTACCTCGGCACACGAGTTCTACTCGTACTTGTCTTTTTTTTTATTTGTTGCTTGAATCTTATCAGCTGTTGGCGGTAGAAACCCGGATCGATGATTTATTTATCGATGAATCGATTTGCTTGGTATTGAAAGTCATTAATTAAGGATGCTCTTCCAATCCCCACCATACACACAGACACAGCATCTGGGTTTCACTAGTTTGTGGAGCTTAATGGCCCTTTGACCAATGATGTTTTATTATAGATGTTGCATCTTCATACTGAGGCCTTGTTTAAAAATTATTCCGCTTTACATTAAATGACATATGTAAGTGAATATGGCAGACGATATAGAATGTATGATACATGCATATAAAAGAAATAGCAGTCTATGGGAATTGCACTCTAATTACACCAATTAGCGTAATTTGAATCTCGGTGCGCTAGTGTCGTATCTCTCCCTCTTATTTGTATATATTTAATATGATTACCATTGACCACGATCTTTTTCACTCGTTCTGTCGTAGGTGATCCGTTTTTCATCACAATATGTTCATGTCATTACGTTTAAATAGAAAATGGAAAATGAGTACACGGTTCATAAGATTTCTTTAAGCTTTTTTTATAAGTACTAAACTTTCAAATGGGTAAAATTTTTCTTTTTGGTCTAACACCAGTTGTTCAGTTGGGTCGTGACTACTAATATATATTTTTGATATGATATGATATATTTTTCCTATCTTGATGTTTGTTATGTCTGAATTTTGCTCCACTTTTATAGAAATGGCATGGAATCTATCCGTAATAGCGACTGGACCTACATCTTTGACATTAACGCCCAGTTTCTGAAACACTGATCATCGTAGATTTCAACTGATCAGCTCTCAAATAGCTTTTCAAATTTCATTTTAGTTGCCAAATGGATGGTTATACTCTCTGAATTGACCAGAATGATTCTTCTTAATAATCGGAATGATTTTTTGTGGTATTTTCAGCTGGTATTTTCGTGATTTCATGTGGAATTTTAAGGTTATTATAATGTTTTTAAAACCCTGTAATAAGAAATAATTATAATGTAAAGCATATAATTATACATATAAGCCGTGATAGCCCAGTGTCCGGGCGCTCGCCTTAAATCAATATACTCGCGCAAACTGAGTTCGATCCCCGGTGCCAGCGGTGAAGGAAAACATCGTGAGGAAATTTGCATATTTTCGAAATAATAATAAAAATAATATTTCTAAGATATATGAAGTCTGCCAATCCGCAGTGGGGCCCCGTGGTCTTTACCCAGCGGGACATGTATAGACTGATACTTTACTTTACTGCGTCTCGTTACAATCGCGACAATAAATGAACACACTTCTAACGCACCGTGCCAATAATCAGAAAAAATATTGACGTTAATAAAATCCATAATTTTTTTTTTCAAACAAACTAATTAAGTAAAAAAGAAACTAAATTTGTAACATCCTATACAACTACAAATGACAGATTCATACATTCAGAGACTTTTTCATTCGTTGCAACAGCGTCGCATTACAAGCCTTAACGGTGGTAGGGCCACGCAGTAGCCTCGGCTGTTGCACGAATGGGCAGGCCCGTCCGGGTAAGTACCACGACCTCACAGAAGACCAGCGTAAAGTGGAAGTATAACAAATACTTTCGCGTTTCGTCTGGTGAGTGAGGTAGCCGGAGCCCAATTTTTTTCAAAAGGTTGTCAACGCATCTGTAACCCTCGGGTGTGGCAGATGTCCATGGGCGGCGGTATTCACTTAACATCAGGTGAACCGTCTGCTCGTTTGACAACTTTTCGCATAAAAAAAAAAAACCTCTCCTTCTAACAGTATGTTTTGTCTCTTTTAAATTCATTCAACCCATTCATATGCTTTGTGACCTTTACAAATGAACTTTACGTTACAGTTTTATACGTAAGGGTGTTCTAAAATTCTTTGTTTTGGAAAATTTTATAACTCGCTAAATATTTATGTTTAAAGTATGTAAAAGTTTACTGCAATTTTAAAAAGTTATCCTCTACATTTGTGTTCATTTATTGTCGTGATTGTAAAGACACGATGTATAATTATAAACATAAAAAACTGCTCGTTCCTACAAGTTTAATCGCTATATCATTCTGGTTATTGCAATACCGTTTATTAATTAATCGGGTTGATGACCTAACGATAAATTAACCGTTATGTATTCAAAGTTAATTAGTACTTTAAAATCAGCTTCTGGTCTTGACCGAATGGTATGGATGTCCCCATAAAAAGTTCGAGATAATTTGAGAATTAGAAAATAAAAATATTCTTTTATATAGAACAGTCACAGAAGACGGACGTAATGTGGTAGTGACATACTTCTGCGTTTTGTCTGGTAGGGACGTAGCCGGGGCCT